CTCCAACCTGAGACCCCACCAGCGACAATTCCGTACCTGCTCAGTAATCAGGGTCGGAGCATCACTTCATATTTTTATTCTATTTAACTTTTAATGATACCGACCATGAGACTGTTTCTTAACTGATTTGACCCTGATCCGAACCAGTGTTGCAAATAAAGAGACCATGATATTGACTAGAAGCAGCTGATTTACTCTGTGTGTGATCCAGAGTGAATGCTATTTCCAGATTGGTTTGTGGGGAGCTTACGGTCACTGTAGAAGTAACTTGCACTGATGTGGTTGCCTGACATGACATCAGGACCATCTCAAAGTGGCACACAGCCAACGAAGTTCTTTTGACATGCACTCAATGCGGTTGGAGACTTACTAATTTGCAGACAGACATTAATGAGACAGTCAACAAGTTGAGAGATAAACATTGACCGGACGAATCCTTTGAAACAATGATATGGGAATTTGTCCCTCCACTGTGGATGGCAGGCAGGACTTTGGTTTAAAGTCTCATCTGAATCAGAGCATCTCTGAGTGTGCGGTACTTTATCAGTCCTACAGAGTGCTAGCCTCAATTAGCAATCTAAGGATGGACAATGTCTGCAGCTTTGTGAAGTGCTGGTCATTGATAATTGGAAAAGGAGCTGGTTTCTCTGCCCACAACTTGGTGTTCCCAGGAGACAGCCGTGGGTGAGGGACAAAGTTTCCTACTTCCGTCCTCTGGGCCTGGCACTGGCTGGGTTAGTCCTCCTTACTATGATGTGCCAGGTTATTAACACAACTGTCGGACACCCTTCCCATTGCAAAGTCACAACCCCTGCCTGGGCAAATAGACCTCTGTAGGTCCACGACACTAGTAGCTGCAAGTGCAGGAGAGAGGAACAAGGGGAGGCCTTTCAATCCCTGAAGGAGTGGCAATATATTTCCAAGTCAGGATGGTGAGTGGCTTGGAGGGGATCTTGCAGGGGGTGGTGTTCCCATGTATCTGTCGTTCTAGGTGGAAGTGGTATGTGGGTTTGAAAGGCGCTGTCTAAGGAGTCTCGGTGAATTTCTGCAGCGCATCTTGTAGATGGTACACACTGCTGCTACTGAGCGTCAGTTTCGGCGTTTGTCAGGGGGAATGGATTTTTGTGGTGCTTTGTCCTGGATGATGTCAAAATTTTCAGTTGAGTTTCTGGCCCATGGTAACCCCCAGGCTGCTGTTAGTGGGGGATTCAGTGATGATAACACCAAGAAAATGTCATGGGGCAGTGCTTTTATTCTCTCTTCCTGGTGATGGCCATAGCCTGGCATTTGTCTGGCTTGAATGTCACTTGCCCCTTGTCAGCCCAAGCCTGGATATTGTCCAGATCTTGCTGCACTTGAACGTGGACTGCTTCAGTATCTGAGGAGTCACGAATGGTGCTGAACATTGTGCAATCATTGGCGAACATCCCCACTTCTGACCTTATGATGGAGAGAAGGGCATTGATGAAATTGTTGGGCTGAGGACACTCCCCTGAGGAACTCCTGCAGAGACGTACTGGAACTAGTGATACTTACATCCCACAAACAAAATCATAAACTGAAAGAACTTAGTCCCAAGCAATGGAATGGTTGGGAAAATTAGAATGATGGAAAATGCCCTGATGCAGACAATTATCCAACATAGGAGTAATATTTTAACTTGCAGCCAGACTATCATACATCAGCATAGCTGGAGTTTCTCTTGAGCCTGTGCCTTTGATATTTAGCTGTGGATTACACAGGATCTGAGAGAGATGTTTGGAAGCCGGAGGAGAGATTTGCATCTGCAACCTTGTAGTGATGTAAGAGGCCAGATTGAGAGAACAGCAGAGGGAGACCCACAAGACTTCCCAATATAATCAAAGCGAAGGATGCTGGAGATTTGGAATTAAAAGCCAGAGGTGCTGGAGGATCCCAGCAGGTCTGGAGAGAGAAAGACAGAGTTAATGTTGCGAGTCTGCTATGACTGCCCTTCAGAACTGGTCTTTCCAGTTGTCAGGGAGAATGCAAAGGTGGACATGCAGCCCATCAAGCTGAAACAACTGTCTGAGTAAAGAAGGTTTTATGAATAGGCCTCACTCTCTACTGCTTCAGGATGTGGCAGAGCACCCAGCCACTTTTTGCTTGTAATGCAGGAAACCTGGCAGCCCACTTATGCACAGCAAGATCCCGCAAACACCAATGCGGTAATGGCCGGACTGTGGTCTATTTTTCAATGATGTTTAGTTGAAGGATAAATATTGTCCAGGAGAGCGAGTTTCCCTGCAGCTCCCTCCCAAAACAGGGATGACTTTCATTCCCAAGATTGCAGGCAGGGACTTGGTTTGAATACAGAGAAAGAAGGGTCGCTGGGCCTGAAACATTCACTCTGCTTTCTCTCTCCTGCCAGGCCTGCTGAATTTCTGCAGTGGTCCCTGGGTGTTTTTTTTGTGACTTGGTTTAAACGTCTGGCCTGAGCAGCTCTGCTTGGGCAGGGCTCCTTCTGTACAGCTCTGAAGGGTCTGCTCCAAGGTTGTAAGTTCAGCTCAACCCCAGAGTGACTGAGGACCTGAAGCCCAGTGCTAGCCCATTCATATCTCCGCAAACTCATTCCTGCTCTTGCCCCCTTCTCTACCCTGCTATGCAACAGATATCCCTGAGGCAAGGTCAGCTACTGGCAATCTCTTTCTCATCTCAAGTCAGTAAGCATTGCACCTGGCTGTCCGGAAATATGGTGGAAGCTGGCTCAGTTGTGGCATCCAGGAGGGCCATTTGATTGTTTGGCTAGAAATGGCGGGCAGGGATATGAGTGGGGGGTAGTAAGGCACGAGGTGATCGAAGCGGTGCAGGCACGACAGGCTGAATGGCCACCTTCAGTAACAACTCTGTGCAAGCCCACGCAAATGTGTGGCCAAATGATTGAAAATTGTTGGTGTGTAGTCCTGAAGAGACGTTTGCCAGACTTGTCAGAGTTAGGGAATGAAACACGGGCACAACGCCCCTGGGTCAGTTAGGCCAGGTACAGCTGATCCAACCCTTCGACTGTGCAAGACTGTACCTACCCCACCATGCTTGAGTTACTCGGAGTGTCACACCATTAAGGCTTCAGAACCACCGATACCCCAGAGTGAAGCGGTGAAGACTTAGGGAAACAACTGGGATGACATTCCTGTCGCGCAGCACTCTGGTCGAAGTTTGCAAGATATTAAGGTGGAGAGGTGTGAGAAACTGCAGTATTTCTAGTGTCTGGGAGGAGGGAGCAATGTGTGAAAAAAAAATCGGAGCCAGACACATCGGGAGTGCTATTGAGAAATTGGGAATCTTAGAATCTCTACAGTGCGGATAAAGGCCATTCAGACCATCAAGTCTGCACTGACCCTCCAAGGAGCATCCCACCCTGCAGCCCATATCTCCCATGGCGAATCCATATTCCTGGATGCTATTGGGAAATGCTCTAACTTGTCTGGAAGTTTGGAAATCTGCCCCATAAATGGTGATTGATGCTCAGTCCATTGTTAATTTTAGTTTTGAATTGGATAGATTTTGGTTACCCAGTGCCGCTGCGAGGTACAGAGCAGAGTCAGGTTTATGCAGTTACATCACGTATTAACCCGAGCAAACAATCTCCAGATGCACATTGCCCTTATCTAAAAGGCATCTGGATGGGGATATGAATAGGAAGGGTTTAGAGGGATAGGGGCCAAATGCTGGTAAATGGGAGTAGATTGAATTAGGATATCTGGGTCAGCACGGACAGGTTGGACCGAAGGGTCTGTTTCCGTGCTGTACATCTCACTGACTCTATGCTGTTCATTTCTTCCACCAACAATCCAGCTCAACACTTCCTGCTAATGTTACAAGGAGAGAACTATTCTCTCTCTCCTCTCCCACGCACCCCCCACCCCCACCCCCATCAGAGGTCCCGTGGGCTTGCTGAGTGAAAATATGAACCAAAAACTGAATCAGTGCCAGCTAAAAGTCTGTTTATTGGTGTGGATCCACACCCAAAAGAAACTGCACTGAAACAGCTCAAACAACTTTCCTTTCAGAAACTTTTGCAACCAGCTTTCCCCATATCATTTCATTTAGTAAATCTACACACACCCCCAGAGGAATGGTTAAAGGACAGTATCTGTCCCACTCAGTCCCAGAGGGAGGGGGAAAGGACAGGGCCTGACACACTGTCCCACCCAATCCCAGAGGGAGAGGGGGAAAGGACAGAGTCTGACACACTGTCCCACTCAGTCCCAGAGGGAGGGGGCTGGGGAAGGACAGTGTTTGACCCACTGTCTCACAGCCCCAGAGGAAGGTGGGGTGGGGAAGGACAGTTTCTGATTGCCTTCCCTGCTCTCTCTTACCATTTGGACAGGTCGAGCTGACCAGTCTGTCATTAAATTTACATTGTAGCTGCTGTCATTGTGTGAACTGACTCTTATCTATCCTTGCCTATCCCAAAGTCGGAAAGATGTTTTCTTTTCGCAAAGGGTTTCTGCAGAAACTGGCATGTTTCCTGCCCATGGCTGGGTGCCAATAATAACATAAAGTTTTCTGCCAAACACCTTTTATTTTCCACCAAAGACTCATGCACCTTTGAATGTTTTTTTTTAAAGCGTACACTTCCTGGTGAGGTCCCAGCACTTTGTGAGACTGCACGATGCAACTCCCTCCAAAAACAGCAAATGGTAAAAGGTAAAAGGCTCTTCCTGAGCTCAGAGAGTGAGAGAGAGAGAGGACAGAGATACTGAGCTGATCAAGGCTGATTGAAGGGGGCTGTCGCCATGATTTTTGTGTGTGTGCATTTTAATCTCCGCTCCTTCTCTGTCCCCTCTACAGCAACCCTCTCCGAAGTCTTCAATCAAAGTGAAAGGTTAAGTCAAATCCCAGGTGGGAGAGAATTTTTTTAAATTACTCACTTACGGGATGTTAGTGTCTCTGGCTAGGCCAGCATTTATTGCCCATCGCTAATCGCCCAAAGTCGACAGTTCAGAGTCAACCACATTGCTGTGGGTCTGGAGTCACTGTAGGCCAGACCAGGTAAGGATTGCAGTTATCTTCCTTGAAGGACACTAGTGAACCAGATGGGTTTTTCCTGACAATTTATAATGGATTCATAAGATAAGAAATAGGAGCAGGAGCAGGCCATCTGGCCCATCGAGCCTGCTCTGCCATTCAATGGCTGATCTTTTTGTGGATTCGTTTCCATGTACCTGCCTGCTCACTGTAACCCTTAATTCCTTTACTGTTCAAAAACCTATCCATCTTTGCCTTAAAAGCATTCAACGAGGTAGCCTCAACTGGGCAAGGGAATTCCACAGATTCACAACCCTTTGGGTGAAGAAGTTCCTCCTCAGCTCACCCCTAAATCTGCTCCCCTAAACCTACAATCCTAAACCTGATCGTGGTCATCTTAATTCCAGATTCTCTCTATTGAATTCAAACACGACCGTCTGGCGAGGTGGGATTTGAAGTCCTCAGAGCATCAGTGGAGTTTTCTGGATTAATAGCCGAGCGATAGTACTCCTACGCCATTGCCTCCCTCATAAGGCCTGTGGTGGGCTGTTGGGAGGTAATAAAATAGGAAGGGCCATTGCCACATCTTGTCTTTTCTGTGCAAGACTTGATCCCCGTGGTCCATTTTGTTTTATTTATTCACGGGATGTGAGTGTCACAGGCAGGGTCTGATATTTATTGCCCACAGAGCAGTTAAGAGTCAACCATGTTGCTGTTGGTCTGGAGTCATGTGTAGGTCAGCTCAGGTAAGGATGGCAGATTTTGTTCCCCAAAAGGGACTTGGTGAATGACATGGGTTTTCTTCCCCAATGGTTTCATGGGCCAGCGTTCAGACCCTTAATTTCCCTGTTTGAATTGAAATTGAATTGAATTCAAATTCCACCACCCGCTGGAACGTCAGTGGACCAGCATCAAGTGAGAGGCCTGGAGTCTGTTTCACTCAACACTTCCACTTCCAGAGGTGACTACCCTGGCCTCATGTGCATGAGCCAACTAAATGGCTAACATAGGGGCAAAAATTCAGACAGCTTTGGGATAAATGACCTGATTATCACTTTGATTTGTAGTGCACCTCCAGAAATGATCCCTTTCCCTCTGCTCTCACTTCTCCTTGGTTTACTCACTTTGAACATTCCTTTTCTCTTTCTTCATTTCTCTTACTCTCTCTGTGCCCTTTATTTCCATCGCTCCTGTTTTTTCTTGTTTCTTTTGCTTTCCTTGACCCCTCAGACAAATGCTACGTTGTGTACCTTACCATTAAGAAAGTTCAACATAAATGACTCCATCTGCTTGACATGAAATAGGCCATTAGGCAGTGTGTATACAGTGCTGTGCCTCTGCCTGACAGTGAGTGACACTGTGTGCAGTGTGTATACAGTGCTGTGCCTCTGCCTGACGGTGAGTGACACAGTGTGCAGTGTGTATACAGTGCTGTGCCTCTGCCTGACGGTGAGTGACACCATGTGCAGTGTGTATATAGTGTTATGCCTCTGCCTGACAGTGAGTGACACTGTGTGCAGTGTGTATACAGTGCTGTGCCTCTGCCTGACAGTGAGTGACAATGTGTGCAGTGTGTATACAGTGCTGTGCCTCTGCCTGACAGTGAGTGACACAGTGTGCAGTGTGTATACAGTGCTGTGCCTCTGCCTGACGGTAAGTGACACAGTGTGCAGTG